TTTTCCTCCATTCCTGGTTGTGAGTGAAAATTCAAAATAAGAGAAAATTGAAGTTCAGAATGATAAAAATAAAAATAAAAAGAAGAAGAAGAAGAAATTGTGAGTGCACATCAATAAATGGTAAAAGTATATATACGAGCGCGAAATAATCTTATCGTATAATCCTGTTGATCAAGTTTGTACTCCTCCAAACAACGTTGCTTTGCCACCTGAAAACACAAACATGAGTTAACCGGCGAGTGTGTGCCGGAAACCCTTTCGATGCCTAAGTCAACAACTAGACAATAGACAATAAGCTCTGTGTATTCTAGAGTAAGAATTGGGATACCTGTCCATAGGTCCTGCTATGAGCTTTTATAGATTCTGCTCGATCCAATCCTAGTAGGATTCTAACTCTCCTTATAAGAGTCCTCTTAGGAATCATACACCCTACTCACTACCAATCAAGTGAGATGGTTTGCACAATCCTAGTAGGACTCTACTCTCCTTTGCAGAGTCCTCCTAGAAATTACATTTCCAAGGATAATGCATATTTTGATAACTCCTTACTCACTACTTGTCTAAGTGAGATAGTTGCAACTCTTACTCTGACTAGCACAAGACATAACTGTGCTTACACAGCTCAGTGCTAATTAAGTCAATTTAGTCAACCTAATCTTTGGAATGACCTCCTGCAGAGCTATCTTTTAGCTCGGTCCAATTCCCACAGATACCTCGGTCTACGACCGCTAGATCAGGCCACTGATAGTCCACCTTTGACCGAACCAATTCAACCAAGGACCAAGGCTACCGAGATAATTACCTCGGTCCATGGCTACCGAGATAATTACCTCGGTCCATGGCTACCGAGATAATTACCTCGGTCCATGGCTACCGAGATAATTACCTCGGTCCATGGCTACCGAGATAATTACCTCGGTCCATGGCTACCGAGATAATTACCTCGGTCCATGGCTACCGAGATAATTACCTCGGTCCATGGCTACCGAGATAATTACCTCGGTCCATGGCTCGGCCCAAGACTATATCTATCTCGGTCCATTCCAACGGACTTACTTAGCTCGGCCCAATTTATGTATCAATTACTCTCTCAGTATAAATAGTGATATTGTGAAAATAAAAAATAAAGCATTGTGATTTTATAGCCCGAGCAACCAACAAAATATCTCTACAAAATAACGGCAACTTACAAAATTTTGTGCCTATGCAAAACTAACTACTTGCAAAATTTGATGAAAGGCTAAAAACTCTCTTGATTTAAAGAAAATTTAGCTATCCCTTCATTTGATATAAATTTGATAAAATCATTGGAGTACTGTCTTAACCATTTTTTTTTTAATAAATTTTATATCAAATTTAAATTTGATCAATGAATCTACTCCACTAGTAAGCCCCATTGTGCATCTGTTAGGGGAATTGAACAATAATTATTTTAAATAAATTTTATAGAATAAAATTGAAAGCAAAACAGATTTTGAAAAATAGGTTTTTCCAATTTAATAAAATTATATATACATATAAATAACAAAATAAGAAGATAAAGAAAAGGGTTTAAAAAATAGCTCATGTGATGGTGAGAGATACGTCAAAGACGCTATCTTAAAGTCGTTAACAATTATAAACAACTCCAAGATATAACCCAAAACTTTACAGGATTTGACACAATGCACAGTTGCACTAGAAGAATTTGCTAAGAATGTATCGATTGTCCAGAAATATGGAATATAAAAATACAATAAGGAGGGGAGAGAGAGAGAGAGAACTTTATATATTTTTCCCAATGTTAAAGTCCTGTATAAAAAGACTCTATGGTGTCTGTTAGGAACAGACACACCTATTGCTTCTGAAATCAAACACATATTTGAAATTCAAAAAAAATAAGACTACTAAAAGAAATAAATAAATAAATAAATAATAAAATATAGTAATAAATAAATAAAATAATTTTGAAGCTTTTAGGAAATCTCCAATAACATCGACAATTCCTCTCACAAAAAATGCACAAATTTATTTAGATTATGAATTTCGCTATATAAGAATTGAAACTAACCACACTCAATCTTTTTTCTAATTATTATTATATAATATAAACAAAACGTTATGAGATCTTTATTGATAAAATCTTCAAAATACTTTTCTCAAATTTCTGAATTTTTATAATATAAAAATATATGTGTCATCATATTATTGTTTCACATTAATTTTTTTTTCATTTTTTAATTTTAATGATTAATATGGAAATATCTCTCAAATTTTGTCCATTAATTAGAGAATCTTTGAAATTGTTATTAATATGGAAATTTTCTATTTCTTATATTGATGATAAAAATCTACATATATTTTTCTCAATTTGTAAAATTTTTATCATTCATTTGCTAATTATTTTTTATTACGAATTAATATATATATCTAAAAAATTTGTCAAAAAATAAAATCTAGATCACATTTATTGTTGTTTTAACCCACATTACATGAATTTAAATCTACATCACACTTTATTTTTTGATAATTTTTCTAGCCACTTTTTTGAGCTCCCTAATTTTTTTTTTTCTTTTCATTTTTCTTATTAGCCATCTTTGATATTGTCATTCAATATTTATATATTAATTTTCTAAATACTTTTCACAAAATAAAACGTTTAGATCAGCTGCATTCTGATTGTGACCATGAATCTACTCCACATACTTTATTTTTCGATATTTTTTTCAAGATCCTTAATTTGTTCCATACGTGTCAGACCACATTAATATTATTATTCAATACTTATATATCACACATTCAAAAAATGTTTACAAAAATTTTAAAAAAATAAAATAAAATAAAAAAGAAATATGAAATAGCATAAAATGTTATATGCTACCTATATGCTCAGTTAATTTTTTTTTATTTAAAAAAAGACATAAAAAATGAAAATGAAATGAAAGAAACTATATTTTGTTTTGGTTAGGTTAAGAATTTGAAAAAAATGAATTAGATAATAGTACAAAAATAACCATATTTGTTTAATTAATTTTATTTTGTTTTCCCTGTAATCATTATCCAAATGTAGCATAAATATTATTAAAAAATTTAATATCAAGTTTTTTATGCAATTATCTTAAATATATGTAAATAAAATATATAACTTATAAGGGTAAATAACAGTCACCTCCCTTGAGGTTTTGGACAATTATACTGATCTCCCCTTCTTTTTCTAAAATTTTATTTTGAAATTATAAGGGTAATTAGGGGAAGGGGAATAAAAAAAGTGTCTAGGAAGGGAACTAAAATAGGAGTTGAAATTGGTTAACAAGAGGAGTGAAATGATTTAGAGGTGGAGCTTCATTTTGGATGGATTGGGGAAGGGGTTAATGCTACTCTTTCTATAAAAAAATAATTTCAATCTCCAATTTATTTTCGATTTTAACAAATTTTAAAGGAATATTATTATGTATTGTAAATTAAAAATTTTAATTGTTATGTCATTTGAGAAAATCTAATATAAAAGTATATATTATTTATCTTGTATGCTAAATGTAATTTTTATAATTCATTCAATTTTTTTGCTCTAAAATGTTATTGATCCACATAATGACATACATATATATATCTATATATTAGTTAATACTTAAAATAAATTATTAATAACAACACAATTAAAACACAACTTTAGTGCAATTTAAATGAAAAAACTCATTCACATAATTTTTAATATTTTTTTCCTTTTAAATTTTAAAATTATTACTTTAATTTTTAGGATAAAATTTTAATTATTTGTTTAAGACCGCACATAGCACGAGTTTTATGTTGGTTTATATATACACAAGATAGATTACTTTTATTTTATGTAGAGTTGAATTCAAAATGAGAAAAGAATATGATAGAGAAAAGAAAAAAATAAACATAAATATAAAAAAGAACATACCTTGTAGAAGTTGCATCAAAGGCCCCACGGATTTTTCCTAATCCGCACTTTCAACCAATTATGTCCCATGCTCTCTTGCCCTTCCTTAATTTTCCTGACAGATTCCTCAACAGAGAAACGACAATGGTTTACCTCAATCAGCTGCAGAGCGAGTATATCCCCCAAACCAGATGGTACTTCCTCGAGATCCTGACACCAATCCAACGATAAGTGTTGAAGGCTTGGAAGGTGACTAGAGCAGGTGATCCATTGCTTAACATCGAGGTCCTTCAGTTTCAAGAATTTGAGTCGAGGAAACCCACCAGCAGTTGTTGCCCATTGCCATCCTGAGGCAGCATCAACATCTAATTTGAGAAGCTCAAGGTTGGGTAACAACATCCCAAGGATTGATATATCCTCCCACTTTATCTTTGTATATTTCAAGGTTAGCCTTTTAACATTTGTAGGAAACTTGACCGCTCGGAAATTGGTTGGGTACGAGAACTTATTCAGTAGCTTCAAAGTCTCAAGGTGTCTTAAAAATTCTAGATTAAAAAACATCAAATTCCCTGAATCTGACAACAGATGTCCACAAATTTCCAGCTTTGTAAGAAAAGGAGTTCTTGCCAATAAATCCTGAACATGTCCACAGGGGTTTAAGTTTGCGATGGTTCGTAGGTTTTCTAATATAGAGGGATGGTTGTGATTTGTTACTGCTTCTTCAGAACATAAAGACACATCATAGTTTGCTCCTCCTTTAGCATAAAGATGCCTCAACTTCGGAATCTTCCAAACATTACATGGCAGAACAACCTTTCTCCATTCTGTAGAAATAATAATAAGTGTTTCTAGGTTTGAGAGATAGGATATTGATGGTGGTAATTCACAGGAATGTTTCAAATTAATTGCCAAATACCTCAAATTAACAAGTTGCGTTAATTCTCTTGGAAAGAAGGCATTGTTATAGCATATTTCCAACACTCTAAGAAGTTTGAAGGTCCAACAAATAAACGAGCACATATCACCAAACGAATTGCCGTTGTAACCAATTATTTTCTGAAACTCAGGTCTGAAGCACAATAATGATTGAAGAACTGTTGGGGCATAAGACTGTAAGAGAATACGATCAAATCTTGGTCCGAAGTAAGAAAGGATGGAAAGGCGGCATTGGTTATTTGTTTCGTAATTACTTGAAGAAGAAGGAGAAGCGTCATTATTATTGTGAATCCATTGTAGGAAATTAATTTCCCTAGCTTTCTTCAAGCATAAATCACGCAACAAATCATGCATACGACATGCTTTAATTCGACCATCAAACCTTTTTTGAGCAACAATTAATAGACTTCTCTGAATTAGATCCATTAAGTAATCTTCCGCTACTTCCTCCAAGCTTTTCTGCTCAATTTTTTGTATAAACCCCTCAGCTATCCATAACCAAATTAATCTCTGCACCGAGATTTTTTGATTTTCTGGAAATGCTCCTAAATAGAGAAAGCATGGTTTCAAGTGGCGAGGCAAGTGATTGTAACTCAATGCTAGTGTGTCCAAGTACTGGTTTGGATCACTAACAATGTATGAGCTTACACTTTGGGCAACTTGTTTCCACGACTCTTGTGTCTTGATGTTTTTTGCAAGAAGTCCTGCTATTATAACAATTGCAAGTGGAAGCCCTCCGCATTTTTTCATTATTTGCTTCCCAATTTCAATTAGTTCTGGAGGGCAACTTTCATTTTGAAACACCTTCCGTTGTAATAACGCCCAACTCTCTTCTTCAGTGAGAAAACGCAGACAATGAGGATGGCAATCAGGTGAGGCATGCATAGCCAACTCTTTGAGGCGACTAGTGAACATAACTCTACTTCCATTGTTGTCGTTGGGGAAATACATTTTAAGATCGTCCCAGGCACCAATATCCCATATATCGTCAATGACAATGAGATATCTCTTGCCTTTTAATTGCTTGTACAACTTTTCGCCTAGCTTCTCATTGGTCATGTCTTCAATTTCATCGGTAAAGACGACATTAACATAACGTAAAATGTCCAACAACACATCTGTTTTTCTGGGTAATTGAGAAGCATGGGTCCATGCACGAATATGAAAGTAGTGCGTGATGTAAGGATCATTGTAGAGTTTTGTGGCTAAAGTTGTCTTACCGAGTCCAGGCATCCCAACAATTGATATCATTTGTAGCTGCTTCTTCCCTCCAGCAAGTAGCTTTTTTATAGTCAAGGCCTCATCATCAAAGCCCACTGTAATTTCTTCATCTACCATGGTTCTGTTCTCCATTGACATTGACGAATAGACTCCATCATTGAAATCTTGTAGGAGTTGGATCTGATTTATCTGGTCATAAAACTGCACCACTTTTGCCTCGATCGGCTTAATCTCTTCCATTATATTTGTGCCAATTAAAATATCAAAAAAACTGTCACCGTTGTTGTTGCAGTCCCTCTGCCCTGGAACTTGAACATCAAAAAAACGGATGAGTTGTCTTGTCTTGCAGATCACATAATAAATTTGCATCGGCAGGTTTTTAGCTTCATAGTTCTGCTGCTGCTGCTGCTTCTCTTCCAAATCCTTGAGAATGGCTGCTAGGAATCTTAGCCGATTTTTAAAAGAGACGAGATGATCAATCTGATCTGCGGTCAAATTGCACGCCTTACTGATCATTAGATGATTCAGTTTCTCCAAGACAGAATAATTTTCACCCATCTCCCTCTGGATCTCTCTCTGTTTCTCCGAGACAGAATAAATTTCACCCATCTCCCTCTCGAATCTCTCTCCCAGTATCTCCAAGACAGAATAATTTTCACCGATCGTCCCCCCGAACATCTTTTTCAGTTTCTTTCTCCGATTCGCCGAGACAAAATAATTTTCACCCATAGCCCGATTTCGGAGGTTCCATCTCTGTATCTTTCTTTTTTTCTCTCTTTCTCTTTCTCTTTCTCTTTCCATAGCCCGATTTTATCTCTCTCAAGTTTTGTGTTCTGAAGACGGAGTGCAATCAGAAAAGATTTATGGCATCCAAAATGTTGACTCTGGCTAGAATTTAAGCAAATTACATTTACCTCCTCTAACAATTTGCTTAAATTGCAGCTGTCCTATTAGTTTGACAAAATATAACATTGGCTTCCACTGATGTCCTCAAAAGTAAACTCCGTCAACGAGAGTCATGAAATAACAAAATTACCTCTCATCGAACGCTTCCACGACTTTTACAATTACCACTACTCTTTACCTCATCTCATCTCTCTTTTATTAGTACCCGCTTTTGAGGCTTTTCCCAAAATAAGTTATTTTTGTATTGTATTTCCAAAACTAGGCCAACTTCTGACGGAATTCCAAAACTAAGTTAAAGCGCCATTACTATTCGCGCTTTTACTGTTAGGAGCGCAAAAGTAGATGAACAGGAAAATCGCTATTACAAATAGCGACTTTGATTAATAAGTCGCTATTACAAATAGCGCTTCTAGTCTTTGTCATACCGCGTACGGAATGCCGTCTTCGGGATATCCTCCTCCTTGACCCTCAACTGAAGGTAACCTGATCTCAAGTCTATCTTAGAGAAATAACAGGATCCTTTCAACTGGTCAAACAGATCATCTATACGAGGCATAGGGTATTTATTCTTAACCGTAGCCCGATTCAATTTTTGGTAATCAATACAAAGTCTCAAAGCCCCATCTTTCTTCTTAGCAAAGAGGGCCGGTGCTCCCGAAGGTGAAGTACTAGGGCGAATAAAGCCCTTATCTAGCAACTCCTGGAGTTGAATCTTCAACTCACTCAACTCGACTGGGGCAAAACAGTACGGTGCCATAGAAATCGGTGTCGTGCCAAACACTAAGTCAATAGAGAACTCAATCTCTCGATGGGGTGGTAAACTAACAAGATCCTTAGGAAAGACGTCCGAGTACTCACAAACCACTCTGGGCAACTCAGTCCCGGTCTCATCACACTCACTAGTCATACAGCTAGCGAGAAGACAACTAAGCTCATTTCACCCTCGCGGATCATACACCGATGGTAAGACTCTACCAACCCGATCCTCCAAGAAATGAAAACAATCCCCGCTCAAGGTACATACAGTAACCCTCTGGCGGTAACAGTCTATAACAGCCCGGTATGACGATAACCAATCCATACCCAAAATCACATCAAAACCTGACATAACCATTACTACAAACGAAAATGGAAGCCAACGATCAGCAACCTTTATATCACAACCTCTACACCCTTGTTTCAAAATCAATTCACCCCCAACAGGTGATACAACGCAAATAGGAGATGCCAACTGCGCCAACTTCAACCCCAAAATAGATACAAATGCAGTAGATATAAAGGAATGTGATGCATCTGTATCAACCAACACATTGGCAACCGAGTTGCAAAATAGGAAAGTACCTCTCACAACAGACGGAGCCGATACAAGATCATGTGCTATAACAACATACACGCACCCTGAAGGCCTCTGATTTACCTGCTCACCTCTCGGAGCATAAGACTGCTGTATAGACTGAGCCGAAGAGGCTCCCTGATTGGCCCTCGAGGCCTGAACTGACTGAGCTAGCTGATGGCTCTGAGTCTGCCTCGAACCAGATGCACCAAATGTGCCACTCAACTGTGGGCAAAACCTCTGCCCTAACTCTGGCTCTAAGGACGAGCCGAAGATGAAGCTGCTCTCTGTCCTCCTCCCCTCTGCGAGCAAGCTGAAGACTTGTGGCCCAGCTGACCACATTTGTACCAAGTGAAGTCTCCTTGTCTGCCTCTCCCAGAACCTGAGCTCGGTACTGGAAAGGTAGATCTAGAATATGCTCCTTGGGACTCCTGAGGGTTAGAACCCCTCTGCCTCTTACCGTCCCCCTGACCTTCCTGACTCCTCTTTAAGCCCCTCATCCTCTCCTCTTCCACCTGCATATAGTCTCAACATGGGCTGCAGCCTGCACAAGGTGCCCATACTCCCTCGTCATGGACCCGGCCACTCGAAGTACGAGTCCGGTCCTCAGTTTCTTCTCAAACTCCAAGCATCTACGCTCCTCGATCGCCACCAACTCAGGTGCAAACCTAGACAAACTGGTAAAGGTGGCCTTAAACTCTGCCACTGGTCTCAACTTCTCCCTAACAGTGGGAGGCAAAAACTTCTCTTGAAAGACATCAACGAAAGCCTCCCAAGTCCTTTCTATGTGCCCTCGCACAAACTTCCACCATTGACCCGCGTCTCCTTTTAACTGGAAGGATGCCAAGGTCACCTTCAAGTCTCCATCTTTAATGCCAAGCATCTCAAACGTCTTCGTCATCTGCTCAAGCCATTCGTCAGCCTTCAGTGGCTCTTTTGGATCACCCAAAAACTCGTCCGGATTCGACCGGAAGAACTTTGTCTTCAGAAAGGACGGCTTTGCCTTAGTTATATGGGCCTGGACTTGATTCTCAGCCTTAAGAATGTCCATGGTTTCTCTCAATGCTCCTGCCATCTCGCGGGCTAAGGCGCCCATGCCCTGCTGACCTACTGGCTCGTCCACATTGGCCTGGCCAACACCATCCCCTTGTGCCGAAATTTCATTCGGTATAGGCATCTCCTGCCTCCTAGGCCTACCATACCTACCACCACGTCCTCGTCCTGACATCCTGATAAAGGTAAGCAAGACATTAGCACATTCACGAATGTGCCGAAGCTATTTCACTCGCGTCCTAATACATTGGACAAATGTAAGTCACTCCACATAAACACATAATCACATAAGCATTTACGAATTTCATTTCCGGATAATGACCGTCCCGTGGCTTTGCTAGAGTTCTAGTTAGAAACGGTAGTGATCAAGTGCCTTTCCAACAAGACTCTTAGAAACCCAATGATCCAATCAACATCCTAGAAACTACATCCAATACCCATATAGTCACACAAGCATGTTATCACATAAGCATATAGCATTACACTTAAGTCTCTAACAAGCGAGACAAACCCATTGTGGTACTAACCACTTCCCACGTACCCAAAGTATTCAAACCTGTTACGCTCTGATGCCAAGTTGTAACGCCCTCAAAAAAATGCATATAAACCAGTCACTCATGACATCCATAAACATAAGAAAATAAAACATGCTTTCATTCATCAGAGTATTCCTTACAAAATTATTACATGTTGACAACAAAAGTAAATGCCCTATGGGCTTACAACCTTCCAAGTCAACACTTGGTTACAAAAAGAGAGTTCTAACTCATAGCATAATAAGCCCTTGGCTTGAATTACATGTAATACAACAAAACAAATATCCAAAAAGCAGAGTCTTCAACTCCTAAACCTTCCAAGCTAAGACCTTGGAGGCGGCATATCACCTGTACCTGAAAATGATGTCCCATATAGGGTGAGCCAAAGCCCAGTAGCGATATTCTAAACCAAATATGAGTAATAACTAAAACATTAGCATTTGATAAATGGTTAACACTTACAAGCCAAATTACACCATTTACCAAAGTTATCAACAAGTACATCCATATCTTAAATCCATCTCTATTCATCCACCCAAGTTAATTCATAAGCATGGGTCATTATTCACTCGAATATTTCAATGTGAGACTACAACTCATATTAACAACATTTCAATCATTAACAATTCGAAATGAGGCTACAACTCATATAGACAAACTTCAATTCATCAACAATTCAAAATGAGACTACATCTCATAATATTAATACTTCAATACTTCAATCATCTACGTTATGCAAACGTAATTAAGGTTTCGGGACTTTCACCCTGGACACTCCGGCCATGTTAGTTATCCATGGAGTCTATCCCCTATCTCCTCCCGAACAGGTTTGGGAGTACATCTCCTATCTTCTCCCAAACCATGGAGTACATCCCCTATCTCCTCCCAAGCAAGATACATATACTTTGTATATAAACGTTTTATCATATACAATGACCAATCCAGGCACATATTCAATGTGTTAATTCAACCGTCATATTCAATGACATAACTCAATTAATTAGTTTCAGTTTTCCCTAATCAATATGCAGTATCTACAACAATCAAGACTATCCTCCACCAATAGCCCAAAGCAATTATTTCTAAACAGATAATAAATTTATCAAACAGAAAAATTGTCAACAATTTCATAGATGAGTGATTAATCAATCCAACTACACCATTCCAACTCATAGTTTCCCAATTTCATGATTTTCAACTCAATTTCATATTCCCACAATTCATCCAATTAATTATACAAATTAATTATTAAAACTTAATTAGGGCATTTTCTCCCCCTTTTTTTTAATATTGTTCCCAAGGCCAAATTTCATCAATCATATACAATAACCTCATTTTAGGAACCACACATACACTTGGAATCCCAAAAATAGAAAACCCCTCTTTCATAATTTCAATTTCAAACCCTAACTTCACCCAAAAACCCCAAATACCACCATTTATACAAAATGACCAACATTTATGTTAAAACTCATAGAGGAGAGTAGAATATTCCTACCTCAAATTTCGGAGCTCAAATGAGAAGATGAACCAAGCAAGTGGTGAACTCCAAAGGTTGCGAAATCAACTTCTATTTGGATGGAAATGGAGGTCTTGAGAAGTTCCAACACTTTAATGAAGACACAAGGGTTGGGTCTCACTAAATCAAGATCAAAATGTAGAGAGTGAGAGAGAGAGTATTCTAGAGTGAGAAGCTCTCAACCTAGGGTTTTGGAATGCTTTAGAGAGAGCGAGGGCCGAAAAAAGTGATTCAAAATGGCTTTTTCTCGGGCTGAAATACACACAGTCCGCTCGAGCGTGGAACGCCCCGCTCGAGCGTCAGACACAGACTCCTGCTCGTGCGTGAAAACGGACGCTCGAGCGTCGAAAGCACACTTCCAGTTTCTGCAGACCTGCAAAAA